TAAATGTCCCGTGTGTGTTTGTTTGTTTGCTTTTTGCTGTCGTTGTTTATTGTTTGCTTCTTTGTTTGTATGTTTGTTTTAGGGTGTTGTGTGGTTTCCTGAATGTAGTTTACTTATTTTGTGTTTTTTTGCGTGAATGCATTTGGATTCAGTTACACGCAGTGTGTTTGTACATACGTGAGTGTCTACCTGTCATCCTGTTAAAATGTCTACCAGTCAAAATGTCTATCTGTCTACCTATCTACCTGTCATCATGTCTCCCTGCCTCCTGTCTACCTAAACTGTCTACTTGTCATCATGTCTCCCTGCCTCCTGTCTACCTAAACTGTCTACCTGTTTATATGTCTACATGTCCAACAGTATACCTATCAACCAGTCAGACTGTCTACCTGTCAGAATGTCTATCTGTCTACCTATCTACCTGTCTTCCTGTCTCCCTGTCTCCCTCTCTCCCTGTCTCCCTTTCTACATATTTCCATGTCTGTCTTTTCGTAATGTGTACGTTATCTGTATGTATCCACATGTGCGTCTGTGTCTGCGTGCCTGACGGTCTCATAGTTGATCATGCATGCCTGAACCGCGCGTGCACGTATGTATGTTGATGACAAGGTTGCACACACACGACTCTTGCAATTGCTATTACCCATTCACTTCATGGAACCTGGAAAAGTGCTCGATCGGTTTACAAATGGTCTCTTTTGAACTTCTGCAAGATTAAATCTATTTATGTGATGTTAATAAAGTAGTGATGGCGATGTGGATATATGGATAACTTGTAGGGTTTATTTTTTTATTGGTGTTTGATTATTATCTCTCTCTCTCTCTCTCTCTCTCTCTCTCTCTCTCTCTCTCTCTCTCTCTCTCTCTCTCTCTCTCTCTCTCTCTCTCTCTCTCTCTCTCTCTCTCTCTCTCTCTCTCTCTCTCTCTCTCTCTCTCTCTCTCTCTCTCTCTCTCTCTCTCTCTCTCTCTCTCTCTCTCTTTCTCTCTTTCTCTCTTTCTCTCTTTCTCTCTTTCTCTCTTTCTCTCTTTCTCTCATTCTCTCATTCTTTCTGTCTGTCTTTCTCTCTTTTTGTAATTCTGTTTTTCTGTCTTTCTCTCTTTCTGCCTTTCTGTCTCTCTGTCTCTCTTTCTGTCTTTCTGAGAGATAGATAGATAGATAGATAGAGAGAGAGAGAGAGAGAGAGAGAGAGAGAGAGAGAGAGAGAGAGAGAGAGAGAGAGAGAGAGAGAGAGAGACAGAGACAGAGACAGAGACAGAGACAGAGACAGAGGCAGACAGACAGACAGACAGACAGACAGACAATCAGACAGACAGAGACAGATAGACAGATATATAGAGAGAAAGGTAGGTATAAAATAGGCAGATTAATAGAGAGAAAGAGATGAGCAGACGGGCAGACAGAGAAACAGGTAGTTTAATAGTAGATGGATAGATAGATAGAGCGAAACACATCTAAACAGATAGATAGAATAAATAGTGGATAGATTGAAAGACATACAAATCGATAGACAAATAGAAAGACAGATAGACAAACATAAATACTAATTGAGTGAGAGCAGATAGGTACGATACAGACAGATATCCAACCACCCTGACAAACAGACAGACGGGCACACAGACAGCTAGCTAAATCACCCCCTCCCCCCACTCACCCATCCACCCAGATAAACAGACAGACAGACAAACAAACAGACAGACAGACAAACAGATTAACAAACAAAGAGACTAAAAAAATCAGAGAGACAGACAAATAGACAAACAAACAAACAAACTGACAAACAAATTAACAAACAAAGATCAAAAACTCAGACAGAGAGACAGACAAACAAACAGGCAGACAGACAGATAACTGCCCCCCCCCCCCTCCCCACCACCATCCTGTAATCCGCCTCAGCATGTGTCCTGCGTTCGCATAAGCTGCCTACGTGTCTGCGTGGGCGTGCGTCGGGCGTGGGGGATTTCTGCCGTCGGTCCAGATTTCCTAATGTGACGTTTTTGCGTCCTTGGTGGGTCTGTTGGTGTGGGTGTGTGGGTGTGTGGGTGTGTGTGTGTGTGTGGATGTGTGTGGGCGTGTGTGTGGGTGTGTGTGGGTCTGTTTGTGTGGGGGTGTGTGGAGGTGTGTGGGTGAAGGTGTGTGTGTGCGCGTGTGTAGATATACATACATACACACACACACAGACACACACTCATATGTGTGTGTGTGTGTGTGTGTGTGTGTGTGTGTGTGTGTGTGTGTGTGTGTGTGTGTGTGTGTGTGTGTGTGTGTGTGTGTGTGTGTGTGTGTGTGTGTGTGTGTGTGTGCTCGTGCGGGTGCGTATGTGAAAATGAGTGTAGATAAAAAGATGGATATAAATACGCGAGTGAATGATAGTGAATAAGTGAATAAGTGAATAAACCAACGAAGCGAAAAGTGAAAGAAAACCGATGAATAAATGATCCCGGATTTAATGGCGGACGAGACAGTGAGTGAAAATGAGATCGTGAATATTAGCGTGAGTAAATCAATTTAGATATGAGTAAAGAGAGAAAAAAAGAGAGAAAATAAACAGAATAAATAAACTAGTGAATAAATACACGAACAAAATGAGTAAATAACATAACCAATAAACACGTGAATGACATGAGTAAATAAACGATGCGTAAATGAACATACAAAAAAATATAATGAATGAGTGAATGAGGCAAAGAGAATGTGAATAAACCAAACAGAGAGAGAGAGAGTGAGTAAATAATCGGGAAAAAAATATGAATAAATAATGAGTAAATGAGTGAGTGTGTGTGCGAGCTTGCTTGAACTAGATCACGAATGCAGAATAAACACATAAAAAGGGACCAAAAGAAGAAGAAGAGGAAGAGGAAGAGGAAGAAGAAGAGGAAGAAGAAGAAGAAGAAGAAGAAGAAGAAGAAGAAGAAGAAGAAGAAGAAGAAGAAGAAGAAGAAGAAGAAGAAGAAGAAGAAGAAGAAGAAGAAAAGGAGGAGGAGGAGGAGGAGGAAGAAAAAGAAGAAGAAGAAGAAGAAGTAATAGAATAAGACGAAGAAGAAGAGGAAGAAGAAGAAGAAGAAGAAGAAGTAGTAGAAGAAGAAAAAGAAGAAGACGAAGAAAAAGAGGACGAAGAATGAAGAGAAAAAAAAAGAAAACAAAAAAACAGCCAACAATAATGTTTGTAGAAGGAATTGGTCAACTTTTCGAACAAATGCGAAGTCATTTTGTTATCTAAGATCTGGACTGAGGACTTCTTATACTCTAATGAAAGAGAGAGAGAGAGAGAGAGAGAGAGAGAGAGAGAGAGAGAGAGAGAGACAGACAGACAGAGACAGAGACAGAGACGGACAGACAGATGCAGACAGACAGACAGACAGAGACAGGGACAAAGAGACGGAGAGACAGAGAGAGAGAGAGAGACAGACAGACAGACAGACAGAGACAGAGACAAAGAGACAGAGACAGAGACAGAGACAAAGAGACAGACAGATCAAAGTGTGTTTGTACAGAGAGATGTATAAAGGGATTGGATGGATAGATTGATAGATGAATATCTTCACAAAGAGATGTATTTGACCGGTTTCGATTATATCTTCATCAGAAATACCGGCCAAATACATCAATTGTATCGTGAAGATATTCATTCTCTCTCATACCATTTCTACAGACAGACCAACATAAACAGATAGACAATAGACGAAACAAAAACAGACAGACAGACAGACAGATAGACAGATAGACGAAACAGAAGTGGAGATAGACAAACAGACAGACAGACAGAGACTCAAGCCTTTGACTTCTCTTCTCTTCTCTTCTCTTCGCTTCTCTTCTCTTCTCTTCTCTTCGCTTCTCTTCTCTTCTCTCTTTCCTTCCATTCCCCTTCCTTCCCTTTCCTTTCTTTTCTTTTCCTTTCCTTCACTCCTCCTCGATTTATCTTACCTCTTTCCCTCTCTCTCACTTCCCTCTTTCCCTCTCCTACCCTCTCTCTTCTTTTCCTTCTCTCTACTTTTCCCTCCCTTCTCTCTTCCTTTCCCTCCCCTTCCTTCTCCTCCCTTCTCTCTCCCTTTAACTCCCTTCCCATTCCTCTTTCCTTCTCTCTTCCTTTCCTTCCCTTTCCTTCACCCACCCTCCATTCCTCTTTCCTCTTCTCCCTTATTCTTCCCTCTGTCCCTTCCTCGCCCCTCTCCCTTTTTATTTGCTACTATTCCTATCTCTCTCCCCTCCTCCCTCTCTCCTCCCTTTCTCTCCTCCCCCCTCCTTCATCTCTCCTTTCTCCTCTCCTCCCTCCTCCGCTCCTTTTCTCCTCTCCTCCCTTTCTCCTCTTTTTCCTCTTTCCCCCACCTCCCTTCCCTTCCACCTCCTCTCCTCCCTTCGCCCCTCCTTCCTCTCTCCTCCCTTCCCCCCTCTCCTCCCTTTTACTCAGTGACCTCCTCTCCTTCCTTTACGCCCTCCTTGGTCCTTCATCTCCTCCCTTTCCCCCCTCCTCTCCCTCCCTCCCCTCTCCTCCCTTTCGCCCCCTCCCCCCTTTCCCCTCCCCTCCTCCCTTTCGCCTCTCCCCTCCCTCCCTCTCCTCTCCTCCCTTTCCCCCCTTCCTCTCCCTTCCCCTCCCCCTCCTCCCTCCCCTCCTCCCCCTCTTCTCCCCTCTTCCCCCTTCCCCCTCCTCCCCCTTTCCCCCCCTCCTCTCCCTCCCTCTCTTCTCCTCCCTCTTCTCCCCTTCCTCTCCCTTCCCCTCCCCCTCCTACCCCTCCCTCCCCCCTCCTCGCCCTGGTCCCTCTTCTCCAAGTACAGTAAATAGAGATGACAAGACGCCTTCGCAGCCACAAACACGAATGAATTAACACAAGTCGAATGAGAAAATATGTGTACGATTTTTATTGAAGAAAAAAAAACAAAAAAACAGACGTAAGTAAACATATACATACGTACATACGAAAATACATATATATGTTTATGTTTTTATATTTATGTATGTATATTTATTTAGTTTTTAAAAACGAATGCGACTTTTTCAACTTACCATAAAACTGTGCGTCGGACATCGAGCTGAAGGCGAGCAACTGCATGACCAAGAGGCCGAGAGTCACCATCCAGCTACGCCCACACTTAGAGTGGGCGCGAGTGCGGGCGGCCGAACATTGGTCGCTAAACGGCGGCGGTGCAGTCATACGAGACGCTTTCGCCATGGATTGCCAGACAGTCGTCCGAACATTTGTCACATCACGAAAACTTTGAGTTCTCCCTGAAATGCCATTTTCTTTGAGGGTAGAAAATGGGAAGCTCGCGTTGCCTTGGAGACGGGCGCAAGAATCCTTCCGGTGGAGAGATGAGGCCGGGGATGCTGAGGCGTCGCTGGCTCCCCTTTTCGATGAATGTTCTTGAGCGGCCGAGGGGAAAGGCTGGTCGAGGGGCCGGAGAGGGCTCGTCGACGCCATCTTGAGGGCGACGGAGGTGTGGTCTGTCGGGAGGAAAGAAACGCAGGGTTAGGATACATCATTGGTTAAATAAAACGATGCTCATTTGTTCTTCATTACCATCATTGTGACTGTTCTCTGTTTCGTCCTTATGATGATTATCATTTATCACTTTCCCAGTCACATTCATTAGCTTTTATCAACGGATATTCCTGAATTTAATTATCATAATTAATCATTATCATTATTATAATTTTTCTGTTAATTATAATATCTCATCATCGATATCTTTATCACCATCATCCCTCTCCCGAGATTTACTTATGATTATTAATTATCAATTTACTTATCGTTATTAATCATTATCATCACTATCCTTTCCCATTATCAATCATTATCATCACTATCATCTTTTATCATCTTATTGCCATTCATCATCATTATTATCCCTATCGCATTTATCATAATTCTTTATCATCACTTGCTTTCTTTCTTTATCATCATCATCCCTCTCTCAATTTAATTAACACTATTTATCTATTTAGCTATTTATGTATTCATTATTCATCATTATCATCATTATCTCATCACATTCTTTTATCATTCATTATCATCCCTCTCCTTTATCCACACCATCCTTCTCCTAATTTGCGGAATTAACTTTCATATTTATTTATTCATATTTTTTTCTTTATCATCACTATCTTTATCACACTCATCATCACTCATTCTCCTCTCTCTCTTTATCATCATCCTCCCTCTCCTAACTTTCGGAATTAACTTTTATATCTATTTCTTCATACTTTTTTTCCTTTATCATCACTATCCTTATCACACTATCATCACTATCATCACTCATTCTCGTCCCTATCTTTATCATCACCCTCCCTCTCCCTCCATTCACCGGGTATTCCAACTTGCGGAATTAACTTTCATATTCATTCATTCATTTTTCTTCCTTTATCATCACTATCCTCATCACCCTCATCATCACTATCATCACTCATTCTCCTCCCTATCTTTATCATCACCCTCCCTCTCCCTCCATTCGCCGGGAATTCCAACTTCCGGAATTAACTTTCATATTTATCTATTCAATTTTTTTTTTCCCTTTATCATCACTATCCTTATCATCATAATCATCAATCATTCTCCTCCCTCTCTTTTATCATCACCCTCCCTCTTCCTCCATTCGCCGGGTATTCCAACTTCCGGAATTTCTGTGGCAGTTTTAACAGACAGGTAATGTAACAGGAGACCCGAAAATACCCAAGTCGGACAAGACGTTCTCGACAAGCGGGTTGCACAGTGCGAGGAATGTTGCAAAACGGTCCTCGCAACTTGCAAGTTCTGGGGTTGCCGGCGGGAGGGGAAGGGGGGGGAGGGGGGTGGGAAGAAGGGAAGGAGGGGGAGGAGAAGGGAGAAGGGAGGAAGGGAGAGAGGGTTGGGGGAGGAGGGAGGGGGAAGGGAGGGAGGGGAGAAGGGAGAGAGGGGGAGGGTTAGGGGAGGGAGGGGGGAAGGGGGGAGGGGGGGAGTGGAATTCGGTTGAATAAAGAACAAGTAGGTGAGTAATAGTTTTTTTTGTTTGTTTGTTTGTTTGTTCGTTTGTGGAAAAAGGATTAAGTAAAGAACTGATAATGGCGTTTGTGTGAAAATTAATCGCGAATAAATATTTCAATTGAGATATGCAATGATACAACTTTCGACTTCGTGAATAAAAGATATCTGCAATCGAGCAATAAATGTAAATAAAGGGGAATAAATAGGGGATGTATAATGTAAACCAAAAAGGTATTTGAGAGATGAAATTAACAGACAACAAATAAATGACTAACAATTGCATTACGAAATAAGATTCAAAATGGTCTTTAATGAATAATATTTCATTTTATTCCTCAATTACTCACTCAGAAAATGAATAGAAAAATGGGGAAAATGCTGTGCTCATTTTTTTGTGAAATGTCGCTACACATAGATGGCTCTGCCTTAGCTGATTTCACCTTTCCTTGCATTGGCGGGAAAAACGTATTTTTTACTAGTTCTATGGATATCGATGGTGTTATTTTTATTATAAACATTATAATCACATTATAATGTTATAATGTTATAAACATTAGTAATAGCAAAATAAGATGACGTAAAACATTTCCGTAAATCATAGAAAAGGTTAAACGGGCGATTGGTGATTTAGTACAAGTGTCGCCATCTATGTGCAAAAACAATCAAACAAGTAAACTCACAGTGAGCATGGCATGTACGTACATGTATGACGAAAATGACAAAGAAATATGACAGTAAATAGTGAATGACAGTAAAAGGACAACGAAGAAATGATGACACAATAACCGACAATAAGGAAACCACAAGAGAAACCCCAGAGTTAAATTTGGAAGAGAGAGAGAGGGGGGGGAGAAAATTCAGAGAGAAAGAGAGAGACAGATTAAAAATCAAGAGAAAAAGAGAGAATGAAAGAAAGTAAGCGAGAGAGAGAGAGAGAATTCAGAGAGAAAGAGAGGGAAAGACTAAAAATCAAGAGAAAAAGAGAGAAAGAAAGAAAAAAATCAGAGTAAGCGAGAGAGAGAGAGGGAGAGAGAAAGAAAGAATTCAACCAGAGAGAGAGAGAGAGAGAAAGAGTCAAAGAGACACACAGAGAAAGAAAGAAAGAAAAAAAAAAAGAATATTTACATCCGTTAACGCAGCACGAGGGTGTCTGGGAACCACATTCACTGCCCATTGCTGTCTCATCTCAGACACACATTTAGCTGTTGAAAATGAGCGCAAACTTATCAACATTCTTTCTCTCTCAATAGTTCCGTCTTCGCGTTCTCCTCTCTCCCCTGTTCTTCATTTTGACTCTTCTCTTTTGACCTCTTTTGGGCATTGTCTCAAGGCGTCATGCTCTGACCTTGCTTTTGTTTTGCTTCGGAATGCACGCGGCCCGGGAGTGACGTCATCATCTCGAGTGGACGGATGTGTGATATATCATTTACATACACTATATATATACTGCGTGTTTGTGTATACTTTTGATGTAGGTAGTACTTAAGTGCATGCAGACATTTATATATGTTTATGTATATGGATATGTATATATCTATATCTATATCTATCTACACACACACACATACACACACACACACACACACACACGCGCACACACACACACACATATATATATATAAATATACATATATATATACGTGTGTGTGTGTGTGTGTGTGTGTGTGTGTGTGTGTGTGTGTGTGTGTGTGTGTGTGTGTGTGTGTGTGTGTGTGTGTGTGTGTGTGTGTGTGCATGTATGTATGTGTGTGTATATATATGTATATATATACATACACACACACACACACACACTCACACACATACCATCCCTTCTTGCAGGAGCGAGCGCCAGTGCCCGCTATCCGTGGCTCTCCTGCAACATCCGCCCTGCACAGTGACATAACAACGAGCCAACATCTCAGCCTCGCACATCATCAGCTTAAGGAGAGCATAAACATGACAACAAAAACAACAGAAAAATCTTCGGTAGGAAAAAAACGCACCAACATAAACACATAAACAACAACAACAACAACAAAATATCTTCCGGGAAAAAAACATCAAACACGACCATCTTTTAACACGGACAACATACGCTATGTTGGATGGGGGGAGGGGGAAGACATAACACAACATGATGCGTTAAGAGGAAGTCATTGCGATTCTATATGGAGTGGGTCCGCTTTGAGGGAGGGGGAGGGCGAGGGGGAGGGGGAGAGGATGGAAGGAGGAGGAGAAGGAGGAGGAGAAGGAGAAGGAGAAGGAGAAGGAAAAGGAGAAGGAGAGGGAGAGAGAGAGGGAGAGAGAGAGAGAGAGAGAGAGAGAGAGAGAGAGAGAGAGAGAGAGAGAGAGAGAGAGAGAGAGAGAGAGAGAGAGAGAGAGAGAGAGAGAGAGAGAGAATTCAACCAGAAAGAGAGAAACACAGACAGACAGACAGATAGAAAAACAGACAGGAAGAAAGAAAGAAAGAAAGAGGAGAAAAGAAAGAAAGAAAAATACATAAAGAAAGAGAAAAGGAAGGAAAGAAAGAAAGAAAGACAGAAGGAAAGAGAGAGAGAGAGAGAGAGAGAGAGAGAGAGAGAGAGAGAGAGAGAGGAGAGAGAGAGAGAGAGAGAGAGAGAGAGAGAGAGAGAGAGAGAGCGAGAGAGAGAGAGAGAGCGAGAGCAAGAGAGAGAGAGAGAGAGGGAGAACGAGAGAGAGCTGCGAGAGAGAGCGAGAGAGCGAGAGAGAGAGAGCGAGAAGAGAGAGAGAGAGAGAGAGAGAGAGAGAGAGAGAGAGAGAGAGAGAGAGAGAGAGAGAGAGAGAGAGAGAGAGAGAGAGGGAGTCGCGTTCCTTAGAGTCAAAGGTTGGGTCACAAAACTGCGCCTCATCTTGGTAAGTTTCACCCCTAATTATTCAAGCATATGAAGGCACGCTTGTTCTGTCGGTTGGGGGGGAAGGGAGGGGGGGAAGGGAGTTAAAGGGAAGGAGGGAGAGAGTATGGGGTAAATTTCGCGGGGGCGGGAGGGGGGAGGGTGAGGGAGATAGAGGGAATCTTAATATCTATCTCTCAATGTGTCTCTCTTTCGCTCTCTCTCTTTCTTTCGCTCTCTCTCTCTCTCTCTCTCTCTCTCTCTCTCTCTCTCTCTCTCTCACTCTCTCTCTCTCTCTCCCTCTCTCTCTCTCTCTCCCTCTCTCTCTCTCCCTCCCTCCATCTTTCTCCCTCTCCTTCCCTTCCTCTCCCTCTCTCTCTCTCCTTCTCCCTCCTTCCCTTCCTCTCCCTCTCTCTCTCTCCTTCTCCCTTCCTCTCCCTCTCTCTCTCTCCTTCTCCCTCCCTCCCTTCCTCTCCCTCTCTCTCTCTCCTTCTCCCTTCCTCTCCCTCTCTCTCTCTCCTTCTCCCTCCCTCCCTCCCTTCCTCTCTCTCTCTCCCTCTCCCTCTCTCTCTCTACGATTCCCTAATTATGGGAAACATTTTTTTTATATATCTTTCCGAGAAAAACCCAAAGGACTGTGTTCATTTGCA